GGGGCTATGTTCTGTGACGTGACATCAGACAATTTTGTCATTGTGCAAATCTCACAGAGTATGAGACACAGATAGTGTGATTGTTAGTGGTAACTGTCAACTTGACAGAATCTAGAATCACCTGGGAGATGGGCCTCTGAGTAAGCCTGTGGAGGACTGCCTTGATTGTATCTATTGAGGTGGAAAGACCTGCCCACCGTGGCTGGACCATTCCCTGGATGGGATACTGAACTATATAAAATGGAGAAGGGGAGCTAAGCAGCTGCACGCTCTCCTTGTCTGCTGCATTCCCGTTGTGAAAGCAGTATGATCAACTGCTTCACGCGCCTGCCACCTTGGCTTTCCCGCCATGATGGACTGTCCTTGAGCTGTGAGACAGAATCAACCCTTTCTCCTTTAATTTGCTTTTATCGGTCTTCTGTCACAGCAACAGGAAAAGTGACTAAGACAGATGGTTAAAGAACCATAGACCATGCAGATTTATGGGACCACCATTGTCTGTGCAGTCCAGTGCTAATGGAAATTCTGTGATGTGGAGCATGACTGTAGGAGTTGGAAACCTAAGCCCAGAACCTTGTCAGTAATGTGAGTCTTCGCAGACATACAGAAGTCAAGGTCAAGCAAGGCATTCCAAGGACTGGTGTCTTTATAATGACTGTACTGTATGCAGACACACACACGAGGAAGAAAGTCAGCAAAGATGGAGGCAGAGGCTGGACCAATATGGCTACAAGTGAAGAACACAAGATGCTAAGGCGAGGAAATGGAGCATCCTCCCCGGAGCCTCGAGAGGTAGGATGTCCCTGTCACTGACACCCCAGTGTTGGGCTTCCAGCCTCTAGAACCATGAAGAAATAGATTTCAATGTTTTCAAGCCTCTGGGCTACAGGGGTTTGTTAGGAAAGTGAAGAAACTAATGCAGAGGTAACAGAACACCAACCATGGAGGACTGAGGGCTCAGAGACGGGAACCATTTGGCCCTGGTCGTCCAGGACACCAAAGCGCCTCAGTGTCCTCAACACCACCAAACTGCTCAGGAAAGAGAAGACGGCTCTCTTCTAATGCCACCACAACTGAGACGGGGGACTTATAAGACGGGGCACAAGTGCAGGTGGAGCCCGATGGCATGGACGGACCCACCCTGCACAGCGTGGCCGTGGAGACATGACTGACTCGGCACAAGCCCCAGTTTCCATCTTAAAATTAAGTCCAGTGATTATCCAGTGTCCATGGGAAGGCATGAAAAGCCAGTGAGGTGAGCTGAGCAAACTGCTTTGCCTGAGAGCACACAAGGCAGGGATGGGTCAATCAGGGGGCTGGGGGTGGGAGGTGGACACACCATGCTCAATGGTGAAATACTTTTCTAGTTTGGGTTTGATCCCACACCCCACAAAACAAATGTTCAGCAGGATACCTACATTGGATATGCAAGAAATAAAGGTAGGTGCTGCTGCTGGGTCTCCTTGAGCTCTGTCTATCTTTTACATCCTCCGATGAATCCTTTTCCTAATGCCCAGGGCTCCACATCTAACCTGAAGAAATGAGCGGCAACTGCCTGAGAAGTCCTGACCTTCTCTTCCTTCATCATCTTTAACAGTTAGAATCTTAGTGCCCCCCTCCTAGTTTCCTCTCATCTGGCTGCCTTCCTTTTTCCAGCCTCATTTACTGTGAGCTTAATGTGATTGGGGGACCCCAGGTGAGTTACTCTTAAAAAAGAAAGAAAACTCTTCAATTATATAGAGAAGCTCATTCTGTACTTTCAATTGCTGTGCTAAGAGGTTGATCAATAACCCAGTACATGTGCCAAAGTACTTTGTTAAATGTTTACATTTGAAAGCTTAAATGTGAAAAGAGTTTGCCAGCTGTTCCATCCACACCAGTGCGGATGACAGGAAATCTTCCAATAAAAAGGCCCCAAAGCCCTTTTCGAGCCACCAAAAAGCATATAGTTGCAGACCTTTGCTATCTTTATTGTGTTAGCATGAAAGTATATTTTAATAATGGAAATTGCTATAATTATAATCACTTTTGAACATTCTTATTATTATTAATAAGACCAAATTGCATGGTTCCAGTGGATGCTGGCTCTCCTGTTAGATAGGAGTCACATAATGCTATCAGTGTGCAGCCCTGACTCTCATCTCCATGCCAACGTGGGCCTGCCTGCCAGTACAGGGCTCTGAGGCTCGTCCAGGCGGCTGGGCAGAAGCCTGTGACTCCTCACAGAGTCGGTGGGCAGGACAATTGATCCCAGTTCTTGTATGAAAGCATGCAGGGCAGGGGTAAGTTACACTCCCAATGGCTGGCCTTCCCATAGGACAGCAGGAGTCTGCTGAGCTTTGGTTCATATCCAGCCTCTTGTCCAACATCCTCTCACAGTTAGTTCCTTAAGATTGTCTTTAAGCATAGCCTTAAAAGGGAGAATGGGTAACCAGAGTATAGGAAAGACTCTAGGTACAGTCAGGCATACAGTCCCTAACACCCTGGGGTCAGGGAAGGGCACTTTGTAGCACAAACCAAGGAAAAGCAGGCAGGAAACATGCAGGAGTGAGCGCAGTCTGCCTGTGGCTCAAAGCTTAGCTCCTTCAGTCTAATGATCTGGGCTCCATTCCCACCCTCCCTCTTTCTTCCCCCATTGCCTGAGCAAATCATTCAATGTTTCCAAACCTCACCCCTGCCACCCTTCAGGCACAGAGCAATGCTAGCACAAAGGCTGGGGCTTGTGGTGAATGTTTTCAATCCCAGCACCAGGGGTCAGAGATAGATAGAAGTCCAGCTTAATCCCACCAAGAGAGCCTACCTCAAAAATCAAGGTGAACAGCCCTCCAAGGAATAACACCCAATCTTGTGGCTTCCAGAGGCGCTCTCTCTTTCTTTCTCTCTCTCTCGATCTCTCTCTCTCTCTCTCTCAAGATATAAGGGGTAGGGTGTGTGAGAGAAAGACATCTGTCAAGGTCGTCATCCTGTGAGGAGGCCCAGGACACTATCTACAGCTATTAACACCCGAAGAAGTATTGGTAATTTATTGCTTCTAAGTGATTTTATTTGAAGTGTCAGAGAACTCAAAGAAAATACATGCATGACCCTGTGGCAACTACTAGAGCAGGAACCATCTCTAGGGTTCAAAGGTCACCTCCCTACTGCCTTCCCTAGCCAGCTGCAAACCCCTGCTGGTGCCAGAGACCCTACAAGGCAGGATGCAAGGCGGTCGCCAGCACCTGGCCTTCACAGGGAGATTATCAGATGCACAGATTTTGCCCTGCGGTAGCTTGTCCCTCCAGCGTGCCATGACACAGAACAGTTCACTCCTGTGGGACACAAAAATGATACTTGTGTTTGTCACAAAACAGCCTTCTTTAAAAACACGCTACAGTCTAACTGATAAACAACCTTGGAGGAACTACCTTGGCTGTGCTAAGGATACAAACCTAGGTGCTTGTTACATCCCAGCTAATTTAATTAACTAAACTTTATCACTGAGTTTAAAGTAAAGGTCACTGAGTTATCAACAAAGGCAAGCAATGGCTGAGGGGAGCTTTGTGAGAAGTGTCTTCTCCTTGGAGCTTTTTCTGGTTCCCTCTTCCTCAGCCCTGGAGCCTGCTTCAGTTCAGGAGAGTTTTCCCTTCTGCTCTAAAGCCAATAAGAATTTCCATCCTTAAAAGTAGAAGTTTGCCAAAAGGGGAATCAGTCAAGTCCTGTGCATGAAAGATTTTTGTATGGCACAGACGAGGCTCCTCCTGTTCTGTACAGTCCTGCTAAAGGCAGTCCACGGGATCCCACACCCTGGGATCATGCTCACGTGGTGGTGGTCTGACTGCTCAGGGGCCCCTAAGCTTCCTCAGCTGACACAGGCCCCACTTCAGTCTGCCCTGCAGCCACTCCTGGGCTGGCCACACAGGGATCCTGCACAGCAACCACAACCAAAGTTTTCAGCAAAATAATTTACTCTTTAAAGATTTTTTTTTAACCAAACAGCTACAGAAGTTATTCTGCAGTTTCTCTTTTTAAAAATTAGCATGGTGTGTCTTCTTAAAGTCTTGAATAATTTAATTAGAATTATACAAAAGTCATGAGCATGTTCTATTTATGGGCAATCACATCAGCATGAAAAACCCCAACGACAATGTTAAAAATAAAAATAAAGTATCTTCATACGGTGCATTCGACTCATGAGAGAACTTGAACTCGAGTGGGTAGATCAGAGAAGGTCGGATCACTTCTGGGAGGCTTTTCTTTTCCTTGCCAGACTCCGAGCTTCGGAGCCTGTGTTCCTTGCTACACGAAGTGTTAAATGAACATCGGAACAAGGGGGAGAAGAAAGCTGTTTAGACAGCATTTTGTTTTGTCTTCGCCTTGCCTTGCTATGAGCCTGGTATAGCCCCCCAGTAGTTAATGGCATTCACACTCTCCAAGCCTGCTGGGTGCATGCCTTGGCGGGTGCACGGCGCCCAGAGGCTGGGCAGCCAGATAACTAGGAGGAAGCCTGCAAACCAACTCCGAGGCAGGCAGGCGGCTCCGCGGGGCAAAGAGACACTTCGGAACGTACTATCTTTTAGCTGAGCTCATGGAGAATTCTTTTTTAAAGGGTACTGCGCCTTGGATGCCGGCCAAGAGTCTCTTTAGCAATGAGACAGCATGGAAGGAGGGTATCAACTCCAACGATTTCCCTCTACCTAACAGCACCTTCTTCCAAGACTCCCCTCCACCCACCTTGCTGGAAGGAGGCGTCACTCCTGGAGAGGAAGCGCGTTACAGGTCTCTTCAGCTGCCAGGCCCACAGAGTGGGGGAGGGCCACCAAGTTCCGAAACATTTGCTCACACCCCTTGAGCTGTGCTGGGGCAGAGGCTGCGCTCCCTAGTCCGTCTCTAGCGCGCGCCGCCGCTTCCTGTCCAACCCATGCTCCCCACGGCCCCTTTTTCTCTCGGGAAGGCTTCTGCTTTAGGGGCAACATTAAACCGTGCGGAGACAGCTCTCGGAAGCCCCTGTCCCCAAGTCCTACCTTCTGCGGCGGGGTCCCGATCAGCATCTCCAGGTAGTAGCCGCGGCCAGAGTCCCCCTGCAGGTTGTCCACCATAGCCAAGAAGTTGGCGGCAGCCCCAGCGGGCTCCAGCGCTAGCGCCAGGCCATCTGCACGGGGCATCTCAGGGGTCCCGAGCCCGGGAACGGCCGAGGATCCGCGGCTCGTGGCTGCGGCCACCTGGAGGGGTAGCGTGAAGGGCGCTGGGGCCAGCGCGGGGGCTGCGCGCAAGAGCCACTGCGCCAACAGCGGGAGCAGGAGCGCTCGGAGCAGCGCGCCCATCCCCGCGGCGGGGGCTCTGCGAGACAGCGAACGCGCGGGGCTGCGGGGCCGGGTGGGACGGGGCGGGGCGGACGGGGAGGAGGCAGAAGAAGGCGGCGCCGAGTTGAGCAAGTTCTCAGCCGCTGCCCCCTCTGGCGGCCGCCGCCCTGCAGGCCCATCCCCTCCCCCCGTGGCCAAGGTCAAGGATGGGCGCGGGTCCTCGGGGCGCACGGGTCTTGGGCCGCGCCTCTTCCCCGGGAAACTGAAGTGCAGAATTTCCTCGGAACGTGCCCGGGAGGCCACGGCTAACGGATATGACGAGGCTCAGCCGAGAGCTGCGGGAAAGTTTCGGGAACCCTTAAAGGCGCAGCGAGGCGCGAACTGACTTCCTGGCCATGTGCTCGAGGGGTCCGCAGAGGTTCCCAGGCTCTGCAGAGACTGGACTACCCAGATGAGGGACGGGTCAGAGCGCGGAGGAGGTTACTGTGAAAGACCTCGCCTCTGTTTGGCAAGCGCATCTCCAAGGGGCGGTTTTGAGGGGGGTGTCTGTCAATCTCTCGGTGCTTCTCCCACTCGAGGATCTCCCCTTTCAACTTCTTAGGAGTTAGGGGACCCTTTCTCTGAGAAAGGATGAAGTTCGAATGGAGGCTGGGAGCGCTGGGGCTAAGGGAGGCAGGTGGGAAGTCTTTGGATTCCTGGGAAGAGGTCTGAGTTGCTGCTGCCGTTCCCGCTTGCTTGGCCTCCCCTGAGCCCAAAGCCCCAGGCTGGGGAGGTGGCTTTGGGTCTGGAGTTCCCGCCCTGCTCTTGTCCTTAAAGCAGATCCCATCCTGCTAGGAGCTGAGCTCAGTCCTCTGGGAGTTCAGTCAGTATACCTATTTAGTGAATTACTATCAGGGTCCCAAATGAGGGTTTCAGAGTCGGCTGCCGTTCCGCTCTCCCCTTCCTTCATCCACCCGCCAGCTCTCCGTGGATTATCTAATTAATACGTGTTTAGTCACAGACGCCGAAGCCGTAGAAATGCGTTCGGAGGGCTATTTTATTTCAAATACTGAACGCAGGGGGGACAATTATACTAGCTAAACTCATCGATTTCTGCTGAAACAAGGAATAGAAGAAATCTTTGTGCCTCCTCCAGCTGAATTATACTGACTGTTTTTATTTTGTTTTATTTATTGTTTTATTGTTTTAACAAGTAAACCCATCTTCAAACAGTGGAGAACAGAAATCAAGCTACCCTAATCCCTGACTGGAACTTCCAGATATTTCCATGCTAGCGTACATGTTTATTCCCGCCTTCCTAATGTCAGAATCCCATCTTGTTGTTGTACCAGGAACCTTTCTGTCCGAGATCTTCAGCTATACTGCTTTCTAAATGACTTTGGTTATAAGTTGCACTGAACTGTATCCGAGCTCCAAGGAATCCCCAGTCACATGAAGGAAGGCCTGATTGAATCCCAGGATAGAACCTAAATTGTTATTCCCCATAAATCTGCATAGTTATTGAGAGCGCTTATATTCATATATTCACATTTCAAATTCAAGATTGTAAGGGAAGGGCAATTTTAAAGAGATGATTGTTATGCTCCCTGGTGTCCAGTATTGAAGGGTTCAAAACCAAACAACCACAAACCACCAGACAGCTCTGAGGATAGCAGAGTGGAAGTGGATTTATCAGACACTGATGTAGGTGCTATGTCATGCATAAGGTCGATAATGAAGACATTTGCTCTAAGAGTTAATAAAAACAGGAGGGAAATCTGAAAAACTCAAGTCTAATTAAAGTTTGTGTTTGAGACTCTCTATCCCATGTACTGTGAATGTCCCAAGCTTTCCTTGGTAAGGGAGGCATATCAACTACTGCATAAAGACACAGTATCAGGAGCACGTGCAGTTTTAATCAGTAGTGGGGCCATCTCTCCAGAAAGTACTGGCCAGGCACTGAAGTGGCAACACTGGACACCTTGTCTTTATTCGGAGAGGTCTTAGAGTTCTCCATTCTCACTAAGATACCCCCTGGATTAGAGAGACTATAGCTTTACCTACAGCTGTTTTCTGGAAAGTGGTATTTGCCATCCCCTCACGGAGTACCCTTGGTTTTCCTTCTCATTAACTTTTCAACCTTGAATCACTTCCAGGTAAAAGCCTTCTTTCCACAGGCCTCAGGAGCAGTGCCAGGCAGGAAGAGGTGAGCCCAAAATGCACAGCATCCCCCTGGGATAGGCTGCCTGACTGACACTCCCAGGAGATGGCTGGCACTGTTCATTCTGAGATCCTTTCATACCAGAAGTTCTCCATCTTACAGTCTAAGAACCCTGTTACCCTGTTACAAATGATTGGGGGGGCCTCAGTATGTTGATCTGTACTTACCAAACTGCAAATTCCAAGTAAAAAACATTAGCAATTAAAGCCACAACACACCTGGTCGCAATTGGTAAAGTGCTTGTTTAATCCTGATCGTCCCCTTAAAAAGTCAGGCATGGTGGCACTTCCCTGTAATCCCAGCACTGGAGAGGCAAATCCATAGGGCTCACTGGCCAGCCAATCTAATCTAGTTGGCAAGTTCCAGGTCCCAGTGAGAGTCCTGTCTCGAATAATAAAAAGAAAAGTGAACAGTTCCTGTTGTGGTTTGAATGAGAATGGCCCCCATGGGCTCATACATTTGAATACTTGGTTCCTAGTCGTTGGAGATGTTTGGTAAGGATTAGGAGGTGTGGTCTTGTTGGATGAGGCTGTGTCACTGGGGGTGGGCTTTATAGTTTCAAAAGCCCACTCCAGGCCCCCCACCCTTGATTTTGCCTGCTGCCTGTGGATCAGCTGTAAGCTCTCAGCTACTGCTCCCAAGCCATGCCTCCTGCTGCCACACTTCCTGCCATGATGATCATGGACTCACCCTCTGAAATTATAGGCAAGCCCCTAATTAAAATGCTTTCTCTTACAAGTTGCCTTGGTCATGGTGTCTTTTTACAGCAATGGAACAGTAACTAAAATGACTCCTGATGACCGTTACCTAAGGTTGACCTCTGGCCTCCACAAGAACATGTGTACATGCACATACCCCATGAATTTACTTGTACACACACAAAATAAATTAAATAATAACAAATAACCAACTTCCTCTTTTTTTGGTGGTGTGTAGTAGAATATTATTTTAAAGTGTGTTACTTTTGTTTATGTTGCATTTGTTCAACTCTGTGAAGCTGTGTTACTGTGCTTGTTTAAAACACATGATGGTCTCATAAAGAGCTGAATGGCCACTAGTGAGGCAGGAGAAAGGGTAGGTGGGGCGGGCAGGCAGAGAGAATAAACAGAAGGAGAAATCTGGGAAAAGAGAAGAAGTAGCCAGAAAAGGAGGAGGACTCCAGGGGCCAGCCACCCAGCTACACAGCAAGCCACGAAGTAAGAGTAAGATTTACAGAAGAGAACAGGAAAAACCCAGAGGCAAAAGGTAGATGGGATAATGTAAGTTAAGAAAAGTTGGCTAGAAACTAAGCCAAGCTAAGGCCAGGCATTCATAATTAAGAATAAGCCTCCATGTGTGATTTATTTGGGAGCTAGGTGGTGGGCCCCTCAAAAGTGCAAAAACAATGAACAACAGTGATGTGTATGCATGTTTGCATGTATGGGCATTTGTATATTCACATAATGTGGCAGTCCCAGGTTGATGCTGGGAACTATTCTCTATTGAACACTATCTACCTTATTTATTGATGTAGGCTCTCTTAATCAAGCCCAGAGTTCAACTACATAATTAGTTCAGCTAGCCAGCATGCTCTGGGGGTGCCCTACCTCTACCTTGAAAGACTAGAATTATAGTCAGGCTGCCATGCCCACTCACTATTTATTTGGATTCTGGAGATCCAAGATAGAGTATTCACATGTGTGTGCCAATCACTTTAACCACTACTTTGTCTTGCTGGCCCCAACTCAACATTTTAATGAAGACTGCATCATTTGGAAAAAAACTTAACTGCAAGGAGTGACATTACTTTACACGTGTGAAATTTCTTTTACTATCTGGATTAATAGAAGACAGCCAGGTCTTCCCCACTGTGTCTGCATTTAGTCTGCCTGCATCTTACATGTCCTGAAGCTGCTGGGAGACTGAGAGCGTAAAAGTGCAAAGTATATTTTAGTTCTTTCATGAAACAGTTTTGACTAAAGGGCCCACAGTTTTGAGGCCAGCCACCCTCTACTGAGCCTTGTCTCATCATCAACATAACACAACATAACATAATTGGCCCTGTATATCAAACACTCTGTCCTCAGCTGGAGGAAAGGCCAAACAGAACCTGGACATTGTGAGTCCACTACCTGGACCAAGGGGCAACATTCTTCTCTATCACAGAGGCTCCAGAAGGCTGCAAATGGGTCCAGCTTCCTGCAGCCCAGTGCAAGCTTGCATCTCTGCTTTTTTCTGGAGTCCTGCTCTGTGCCTGCCACCTGGGTCCTCTCCACCCATGTATACACAAGCTAAAGCTTCCACTTGTTTAAACATTTCTTGATCTTACTCTAACTCCTTATCTTTAAGCCAAGTTCTTTGTGTATGCTTGTACATGTATGAGGTGGCAGAGGCCAGTGCTAACATCTTTTTCAATTTTTCTCCACCTTATATGTTTTTAGACAGAATCTCTCATTTAGAACTTGTTGATCAGGATATACTGGCAGACCATGAAGTCTCAAGGATCCTCCTGTCTCCACTTCCCCAGTGACAGGATTACAAGCTTGGGCTGCTGTACCTAGCTTTTAAACCTAGTGGGTTCTAGGGATAGAATTCAGGTCTTGCTTGCAAGGTAAGCTCTTTACCAAATGAGCTTTCCCCCATCCCTATATGTTGCAGAATATTTGTTTAACTATGCAAAGGTGTATTACATTTTTTAACTATGTAAAGATGTGTTACATTTGTTTAATTATGTAAAGATGGTGCTGCTGTTTTACCTTGCCTGTCTAAAATACCTGATTGGTCTAGTAAAAAGCTGAATGGCCTATAGCAAGGGAGGAGTATATAGGTGGGACTTCTGGGCAGGGAGAATAAGTAGGAGGAGGAATTTAGGTGGGAAAAAGAAAGAAAAAGACACCAGGGAGACACCAAGGGCTATCCAGCCAGCCATGGAGGAAGCAGGAAAATAGGACATACAGAATAAAAGAAAGGTAAAAAGCCCCAAGACAAAACATAGATGAATAGAAACAAGTTCAATTACATTAAAAGAACTAGTGGGACATGCCTAAGCTAAGGCTGAGCGTTCATAATT